ATAGGAGTAGTAGGAGTAGGAGTAGGAGGAGTAGAGTAGTAGTAGTAGTAGTAGTAGTAGTAGTAGTAGTAGTAGTAGTAGTCGTAGTCGTAGTCGTAGTCGTAGTCGTAGTAGTCGTAGTAGTCGTAGTAGTCAGTAGTAGTAGTAGTAGTAGTAGTAGTAGCAGCAGTAGCAGTAGCAGTAGCAGTAGTAGTAGTAGTAATAATAGGTGGCGGCAGCCGCGCCGGCGGCGCTGATGGTTGTTTTTATTGTTATTGTAGTCGTACGTAGTTGTTGCTGTCGTTGTTGTTGCTGCTGCTGCCGCCGCTGTTTCTGTGGCTGTGGCTATGGCTGTTGAACTGTTGGTGTTGTTGTTGTTGTTGCTGCTGCTGCCGTCGTTGTTGTTGTTGCTGCGGCTGTTGCTGTTGCTGTTGCTGCTGCTGTTGCTGCTTTTGTTGCTGTTGTTGTTGTTGTTGTTGGTGGTGGTGGTGGTGTTGATGTTGTGGTTATGATTGTGGTCGGAGGCGGAGGCGGTGGCTGTGGTTGTGCTTGCGCTTGTGCTTGCGCTTGCGCTTGCGCTTGCGCTTGTGCTTGTGCTTGTGCTTGTGCTTGTGCTTGTGCTTGTGCTTGTGCTTGTGGTTGTTGTTGCTGTTGCTCGATCGAGTAGGGATAGTAATTGGCGAATAGTAAGTAGCATCTGCTGTCGTGGGGCACCGGCAGTAGCAGTTTCAGTGCTAGTCTCATTGGGGCAATTTTTGCTATCACTACGTGTTTCTGAACACTTCTCTGCCTTCAGTGCTCTCCCCCATCACCCGTCATGATGGCCTCGACCATGGGATCATAGTTAAAGTAAGGACGTTAGCAGAGTGCAAACTAAGCTGTGCTAGTGCCATGGGACCCGCGGCCGCCGCCTCTCGCGTCACACAGCGGCACGAAACCTGTTGCCTGCGGGGCATCGTATTTCCACAAAATAAGACGATGCCTTGTGCCACCAGACAGGTCATGATCGCCAGGGAGATCGCCAGTTGAACTCTTGAGTACTTCCTTGGCCGTGTTGATTATCTACGACATCCGACAAAGCCACCAGCACAACGGAATTCTAGCAATCACGAATAGTCGAGGCACTGGACGACAGACACGATCGAGCCCCAGGTCAAGCTGACGCAAAAGTAGCAGTATTCAAAAGCCAGCGGGCAGCCAATGCTAGCCAGTACACATTGCAACGGAGAGCTACCGCTGCCGCAGGAAACAACAAACTTAACCGTCCTGAGCAGGACGGGGAAGATCACCACATAGCCAGTAACCAAGGAAAATGCCCAAGCGACAACTTGGACGCTCATGTACTGAAAGACTGAGCTGTAGCCGGAACTCCGAGCAGATTCTTCGCATGATCCATTGTCACATCCGAGAATATTCACAGAAGAATAAAAGATCATGGGGAGGATCGCAGTCAAGCAGGTGTGCCAAGGCACGTCCAGCTCGTTTCCGATTTGACCTATCACAGCCTCGCGCAGAGTTCCCCTCACATACGTGTTGAAGCCGTCAAGTGGATCCCAAGGTGCCGGGAATTTCTGAAGGTGGACCTGCGCAGAAAAGGTTCGCGGGAACTCCGTCAAAGCAAGACTAGCTGGGACCTAGGCGCAAGCGCCTCAGATCGCTGTTTCACATCTTTTCTAAGGTACTGACTGGGGTGTGGGACCTTTGTATCGGATGGGAACCCAGATTCAGGTGAAGATATCATTTCCGCCACGCCCGCCTCGCCCTCATCAACGGCATGGTGTCGGCTTCCTGAATCGCAGCTGAACAGCTGCTGGACCTGTTGCTCGACCGCGCTCCGGTCGGCCGGCACAGTGCAGCTCGCAGCCCGTACTTCGAAGCCGGCCATCTGACTGAGCATCAGCTGGTGACTGCGGAGCTTCAGGCGAAAGGCGAAGAAGCTCGGGATCGAGACAGGGAGCGCAATGATGCTGGAGATCATCCCGATGATGCCAATTGCAGCGAACTTCTGGAGGGCCTCGCTGTCCCCAAAGTGTGACTGCAGCACACTCAGGATGCCCGGTATCCACTGAGCGCTCCAACTCGGGAACACATGCTCCAACAGCTCAAGAAAGCTGACGCTGAGGAGGTGCGAAACGATCGAAGCGAGCAGCCATGGGGCCAGCCACAGCGGAACCACATCCACCTTTTCTGCACCTCCGTAGCATGCGAAGGTGGCAAGCTCTAAATGGCACCAAAGTCTGTCGAAGTAAGTATCCTGAGTGTTTTTTGAATTTTTTTTAGACATGTGTCCCTGGCGTGCGATACCAAGACAAGCATGAACAGATTTCGTGCCTTTTTTGGATTCGAAGCCCTAACCAGAAAGCCACATGAACATTGACCGTGGCGAAGCTAGCGTCATCCCACAGAAGCAGCATTCGAGACGAGCGTGCAACGAAAACCGGAAGGGATACGATCTGTTGCTGCTTCCGCTCCAGGTCCGTCTGGTGAATACAGAACCTATCAAGCCAGACTGTGGGGGACCAAAGTCCACCGGAGAGTTGCTGTCCCCAAAAGAACACGATGAAGAACGTGGCCAGCGGCAAGCACACTAGGCAAGGAAAGTTGAAGTAGCTGCCGCCCAGTGATGCCCAGCCAGTGGAAGCAATCAAGAACACGGCCGCGGTGCACCACACGGCAAAAGAGCACTTGATCGCCAGTTTCAGGTTGAAAAACCTCGGGTTGCCACTCAGAGAGCCCCTGCATTCAACATCTTCGCTTCGGGGCATGGGTACTTACAATGCCCGCAGGTGCAAGGGTACTGGTGCCAGGTGGCATGCACAGTGCCAGAAACTTGCTCCACCTCTCTGCTTTCCATGAGTGGCTGATGAAGAAGTCCACGTGGCCTGCCTCTCTAGACTTCTGGAACAGCAAGTCGCCTGCCATTTGGACCTCCTCTCTTGTCGGAAAGCGGCGTGCAGGACTTCCGCTTGCCGCGAAAAGGCTGAATAGGGTGTCGTCGAAAATGCTTCCATGACCTGGCGACAAGTCCGAAGCATCGAAAGATCTCTTAAACTGGCATGCCAAGCTAACACGGCTCTCTTTCTAGGCACGCGCGTGGAATTCTGCATAGCCCGACAGCAATTGCTCTGCGCGGATACTGCGATAATTCCCCGAATCAAGGACTTCATCGAAGGCATCTGGGCTGTGCAGGCGAGTGAAGCCAGCATCCCGTAGCGGCATCTCAAAGGTGGAGTTCTGTCTGGGAGGGTCTGGAAAAACAGCTTTCTAGCTACACCTGTGTGACGCTTTCCAGATTGCGGACAGGGTCTGGTCGCATAGGTAGGCCTGATAGCCCTACCGAGCCAAAAATGCAACACAGCGATCATGCAACAAGGTGCTCACTGGCCCTTCATGCACAAGCAACCTTAGCAATTGCTAAAGTGGTGTCCTTTCGAGGAGCTGCTCATCTTTGCCGGCGAGCTCCTCCTCGCAGGCCGAAAGATGCGGTGATCTAGGTTTGGCTGCAATCCAGAGACGCCAGTGCCAAGTTCTTGCAGCAGACAAGCGCTACTCGACTTGCCAAGTTTCAACTGCTGCCGCCTGACCGAAGCGAAGGTAGCATGGATCAACAGAGAAATGCTCATGTGCGCGCGCACGCAAACACATACACACACACACACACATGCACGCATACGCACACACACACACATGGTGCATGTGAAGAGTCAGCAGTGCAAAATCTCAATTTTCAGCTCGGCCCGCTCATCTTAGCTTTCCCTCGAAGTAAGGTGTCAGGAAGTCATACGGGTGGAGCCAGCGATTGACAACCCACCTCAGAATCAGAAGTGACTCGGGCCTCCGAGTCTTCTCAATGCTTCCTAGAAGCACTGTGGTGGGGTCAGTCGAAGCACGCCGACGCTTGCAGTCTCTCCACATCTGCGGGGGTGCCTCGAACTAAGGCCACGGCTTTTCACCCTCCACCACTGGAAGGGACTGGTGCCAGGCGTCCATGTCCTTTGTGCCGCCTTGAGCATGCAAAAGGACTTTCAGACTAGAAAAAACGTTCCACGCATGCCTTCACGAGCTACATGGACCTAGCTGAATGCCCCGTTATTTGACCATGCATCCAACAGCCTGGATGCCGCGACAAGCCGCCACATTTCAATTCACAAACATATCCAATCAACTTCGCATCTTCACACCAACATGCGAAGGAAAACTTCCCCACAGCCAGCAAATAGGTGTGACTGTGACCTCGACGCAAACGACCTTTCACAAAAACTGGCCACGAGCATCTGCAGACGAAGCATCCGAAAATGCCATGCTGCAGGGCTGTGTAGTTCACGTTCCACCAAAGAAGAGCCAAGCCTTTCCTGAATGTCAGGCAAGCGCACAATCAGGGAAGCGCCCCTGCATTTCTGAGAAGCATGTCGGTGTCTTTCTGTCGCCGAAACTGCCAGGCCGGAAACCCGGCTTCCCGAGCCTTCCGCCCTTGTACTTCTCAGCCCTCGGCTCTGGCCAAGCCCATCCTGTGAGAACCCAGTGACCGGAAAGCTCAAGGCTTCCAAACCAACCTGCAGAGGTGTGGCCGTGGCTGCACCAAGCGTCCGGGGCGTGATTGTCAAGTCCCACTTGGCGAAGTGGGTCTGACCTCCTGCGGAGGGGAATCATGTAGCCTGCAGCTCTCGCGTGCATCTTCAGCGCTGAACAAGGGGTTTGAAGGACGGGATCTGGGCCGAAGCAATGTCGAATCTGGTCATGTGCGATTCAAGTCAGCAACTTGCCCCATCTCCTTCAGGTACATCATTCAGATACATGAAGAAGGTTCCAACTCGCCCACCTTACATGTCCATGAAACATCAAGTGACCCATGCGGATCTTGGTGCCATGCATGATTTGTGCACCTATCGCAATCGTACTGGCATCCCCGGGGTCTGAAAAATGCAGGGTTAAGCAGCAACCGATTAATGCGAACTGCACCTCTCCAACCACATCTGCATATGACAGAAGAAGAACTTCGCAAAGAAATGGCTGTATAATGATGTAGCGTGTCACGCCTCTGCCTCGCCCCAGTACAAGCATACACTTCTGGCAAGTCGCCACACACCTGCTCCTCTTGGGCGTCCAAGTAGTCCTTCTACGCACATCGTGACGTTTGCTGCAAAAGGCAACGTCCACCGTCCACAAACACCCTGGGGTTGTAGGTGCTTCCCATTCTCCGTATTGGCTCAGAACCGTCTCCTGTGCTCATCTTTTCGCCCGGTTTAGACTACGACAGTGCCTAGCACTCGCAGGTTCTAAGGCTGGTCCAACCAGACAGGCTATGTAAAGTGCCCGAGCGGCCTGGTGGCCCTGGAAGAACTGACCAGCTTGGTATCGGACCACCTGCACTGCACTGCGACCGTGAAACACCCACATACTCCATGCACGCCGACGACTATGCTTCCCAATTATCCGCGGAATGCGCCTGTATATCGACCTTTGTGACGAACCTGGCTTTGATCCCGTCTAGTGCTTGGCTCGAACCACAGCTGACAGCTTGGAAGCTTTTGCGTATTGGGCTGCACCCTTCCAAGGCGGCCCCGAGCAATTGCTGCAACCGAAGCCTGTTGCGATGTGGCTCCGACACATAAAGCACAGGAGCACGATCGTGCTGGCAGCATCAGCAAAATTACGATGGTGCGGTCTTTGGCGGGGCGGTGTGGGACATTTTTGTAAGGAAGATCAAGATTATTATTGCTGTGTTGTTGTTTGTGTAACGCAGTGCTACGCATTATCACATGAAAGCAACACAACTTGTTTTCTCCCACGCGCCCAGCACAATGCCTGGAAAGGTTCCATGTGCTCATGCGGCAGTCGGGTGAGCTCAGTGATGCGAGCGGTGATGTTCGCCAGAACTGCATCATCTGAATCCTTCCAAGGCGAATGCTAAACTCCAGAAGAGCATCCTGTTCTGGTAAGCATGAATTTCATGATTTGCACTGGGCAGGGAGGGATCGCAAGGCTTAACATTCCGAACTTCGGCGATGACGGGGCTTGCAAAGCATAAGAATGCTAGCAGTCTCCGCATGCCTACGTTGGATTCAGCCTTGTACAGTCAAAGCGCGCAAGAAGGCCAAGACCAGGCCTGCACAGTTTTGAAGAGTTCGCCGACGCCCACGCCCTTTTTTTCGCGTTGCGTTCCATGTGTATGTGCTAGGAAGTTTTCCCGGTTTCCCACAGGTCAGTCGAGTGCTAGAAGCTCAGCTACCAGGAAAGCCCCGCCAAAGAATGTCGCACCCCTGGCCCCATTGCATCCCGGCGGTCAACGACGCAGAGTCCTGTTGGGCGTTGAGCCAGGCCGTTTCTGAAGTCCGGCTGTCGCCGGAGTCCTCATTTAGCACAGAGATCAAGGCAGACTTGTCCTTGCTTCGAGTAGGACAGCAGTACCCGTATCTAGCATCGTTTTGTTTTAACCCGCACTGAAGCCGTGGCATGTGACGGGAAGGAGCGTTCTCCAAACAGCTCACAGCAACAATGATGCAAGATTTAGCTTGCGTCCAACTGGTATTTCAGAGATCAGACGTGAGATGCTCAATTGGCAGTACCCAAGTCGAAGGAACAACATTGAACGAAACCTATGTGCCCTGAAGACTTTGTATCTTCAGGTACACCTTTGCACAGAATTGACGCGGTTTCTTGACCGCGCTCCGTCTTCAGCAACAGATTCTCGAGGCATGCCCGTACGGAGAGAGACTGGAAGTGTGTGGCGGTTGACTTGGCACTCATAAACTCAAGGGCATGCCCCGCACTTCTTGGGGCACACAAATTGAAATAAAATTCCAGACTCTTTACAGTCTTGGAATTAATTTTCGCAGCCTTGGCCACAGATGCACTGGAGGCAAGCCGTCTCTTCTTGGCTGGTCAGCAATTCCAGACTGCTCCACAGTCCTGGTAATTTCTGGCAGCCGTGGCCACCGATCCACTGGAGGCGAGCGGTCTCTTTTTGGCTGGTGAGAATTCCAGACTGCTCCACAGTCCTAGTAATTAGTTCTAGCAGCCGTGGCCACCGATCCACTGGAGGCAAGCCGTCTCTTCTTGGCTGGTCAGAAGCAGAACGATGATTCCATAGATGAGGCACATGGCCGGGATCCCAATGACTACTGTGGCCCTGACAAAGCTGGAGGCTGACTCTTTCTTTCGCCTCTGAGCATCGTCCTTCTGCCAGGGGATCATGGGGAGCAAAACCACAGCAAAAAGGGAGGTGGAATAGGAGAGCACGTAGGACCAGGCAACTGTAGAGTGGAAGGTGCTAGTGTCTGCAACGTAGTTCTCAAGCATGGATAGCTTCGGGGTGAAGAGTCCGAAGATTTGATTGCTTACCACTGCCCCAAATGGTGTACTCGCGCTCTGAAACGTGTTGATGAGGCCGTAGCACAGGCCTTCTCGACCCGGCTCGGCAAGTTCGATGATGATCAAACTGGAAATGAGCTGGAGTGCAGCCTTCGGGATATTGCCAAGGATGTCTTCGCCGAGGTAGAAATACTGGTTGCGGACGACGCCGAAGATGGTAAGGAATGTCGGGATTGCGTCGAAGACGATGATGGTAACGATTGAGGCGAAGATGGCCTTTCGCCAGCTGGCCTGGAGCAAGCACACCTTGTAGAGCCAGGTCGCCAGAATCATGATGGCCAGCCCAACAACGCCAAAGGTTTGCTGCTGTAGGACTTTCACCTCGGCCCACTGGCTCCTCACCATTGGCCCGGCCGTGGTTGTGATTGACACAAGCAGCTGTGCCAAGAATGCGAAGAAAAGGAGGCTCGAGAACGAGTTCTTCTGGACGAGCTGCCACGAAGACTTTACATGGGCCCGGCAGGAGGTTCGGTCCGCGCGGTGCCCGGGTTTCGGGTGCTCGTGCACGCAACAAACAGAGAGCGGGATCATGAAGGCAACCAGAACGAAGCAAAAGGCCATGAGACCACTGAAGGAGAACCCCCAGTCAAACGTCCCCAGGTAGGGTTTGCTGTTCATGAACAAGCCAACAACCAAGGAGGCGGCCAAGGCCCCCGCTATGGACACCATCGTCATCTCCGCCTTGATGTGCCCTCGGCATTCAACCGGCTCACGCTGCGAGTACTCAAGCAGGAGACCCTCACCGGCCACGATGCCCAGCTGGATGCCTGCGGTCAAAACGAACATCCAGAAAACGTACCAGTTCTTCTCGCTGTGGATGCTCGGGTTGCATGGAGGGACCATGAAGTTGTAGCTGCCATCCTCGTTTTGGCAGTAGAAGGGAGCAGGCAGAGGCCTCAAAGACAGGGCAAGAAGAGCAGAACCGGCAAGGCACCATGATGCCACGAAGTAGGGCTTCCTGTTTTTGCCTCGAATCGGGCAACAGTCCGTGAGAATGCCGAGCGGAAGAAGCAACACTTGCGGAAGCTTCATCAGCTGCGTGATGGAGGATATTACATACGAATCCAGCCCCATGTAGCCAAGGAAAAACCCGTATGTAACAGCCGAGCAAATGGCATTCAGGAAGGCCAGAAGGAAGCCCCCCATCACGATGCCCATGGATTTGACGGTCCAAATGCTGAATGCATGGCACTCAGGCTGCAGCTCCAAGGCATTCTCGACATCGGGTTTGATGGTCGATATCTCCGGACTCAGCTCTTCCGTGCTGGAATCCCCAGCCAGCGTGGTGCACTGGGAGAGGGAGGCGGCTTTGGTGATATCTGTGTGCTCCAACTCCTGCTCTGCAGTGGCCGGCACAGACATGGCTGTGGATATGGGCTGCCTAAAAGCAAAATCGCAAGGTCTTGAGCCTCGGCACCCTTGCAGAGCAAATGACACTGGTTTCTGCGCATCTGGATGCCCGGATTGGGCTTAGCCTCGCGCCGATCTTCTCAAAGTAAGGCCAAGTGTCGTAGGTCATGCCAGTGGTGGACCTAACAAAGCGCGGGCGAGCCAGCTCCATGATGTGCTGGATCTCGTCATCCTTGGATGAGCTATGGGTCGCACGATTCCCAAACCCTTGGAGCACCGGCTCAGGGGGGCACAGCTCTTGCACTCAGGATACTTCCGTTCCGGTCGGACATCTCTTCGGTTCAAGGGGCGTAGCCTCGACGCCGGGAAGCATCAAGCATAACCAGCCCAGCTCCACGCAAATACTCTTCACTTCATTTGGGCATGAGAATTCCACATTCCACAATGTGTCAAATGGTGCGATGCATAAAAGGTCCGATGTATCACTTGCACAACCAGGAAACGTACAGTATCCGCTCTTCACTGCTATCTTCGGCCCAGTGCAAGACAGATTTCGGAGAGAAAGCCGTCGAACTTTGCGATAGGCGGATTCTCCTGCACCTTCCATGAAGCACGGGGCTTTTGCTGACCTCTTCGTTTGTAAAGGATTTGCGATGTCGCCACATCGTTTCGTTTCGTCTATGTAGGGTGCGGCGTGGGTCTAAGTTCCAGGCTTAGGTGCTTTGTTTCGAGGACGGTGTTGAAGGCCAAGAACCTCTTTGGTGTTGAGCTGTTGTCTCATGTAGTAGCGTGCCCCCCCGCATCAAATTCTAATTACCAAGTTCCGTACATTACAAGCCTTGGGGCCCCAAAGCCGCTGAATAACTCTGAACCGACACTCGCATGCCGGGCCAGCGTGGCCCCCCTCGCTGCAAGGACTTCCAGCGGTGCCGGGCCACCCCATTGACGCCGCTGCGACCCCTGACAAAGGCATAGTTTCAGACTTTCATATACATATACATATATATACATATATATATATATAAACACACCTTTTCAGAAGCCGTAATAAGGCCATACTTCCGTTGTGATCAAAATCGCGGCACTGCAACTTCTGAAAGAACTCAGGCCCTTTAAAACCACTGCTTCACGCAACCCGATGTCCTTGACCCTGAAAATTCATCCGCCCTCCTGCTGCAACACGGCAATTAGATTGCACCGCGCTGGCCCCTGCGGCGGCCCCAGAAGAGCAACATGCGTTTTACGAAGGTCTGAGCGTCTTGCCTTTGAGTCTGCAGGCAGCTGCACAGTACGGTATTCTGGATCCGCCGTGCAAGGCTCCACCCTGTCCCGACATTATTGCAAACAAAGAGAATGCAGCTCTTTTGTGTGGCTTCCATGATTCAAAAGGTCTTGCACTTGCGGCTTCGATCAGCTAGCATGATGGAATGCCGTTGAATGCCGTTGGGTCTTTCATGTCAACAAACCTGTCCAGTCTATCATATTCGCTTGTTGACCGTGGTCCGCTGAACTCAACCGAAGATTCTTGTTGAGGGTAACCAGTTGGCCAAGGACCGTTTTGGTGCGCAGCAAGGCTTGCTGAAAACAGAACCAGGTACCCAGTCACGAAGCGGAACTCGTACTCCTGGTTCTTCCTGGGATTTCACCCACTCAAAGCTTGCGGTCTCAAGCAATGCATCCATGGATGCGCCTTTCTGCAGTCATGATGCTGGAAATCGGTCCCAACGAAAGCAGTCACAGCTCGGCATCCGCTCAAGTGCTTGCCTTGCATTGTGCACATGCTTGTGTCGACCGCGGCATGCCCGACTGTTCCGCATGGCTCCTGACAGGTATTCCACCCTGTGAGAAAATCCGAACAGATGTACAGGATGTCTCTGAAAACTGGGTGGCGGAGAGGTTGTTGGCTGCTGCCGCGCAGCACTCCTTCGCTGCTGCCTGGAGTGCCAACATCCTCAGGGTTCCGGCTGATTTACCCTTTTGCATGTCACTCCAAGCATCTCGACAAGGCCTGCATTGAGGCAGCACATCAAACTGTGTTCGTGTATGTCCTGTCCGTAGTGGCTGACAGCATGATAAGTATGGGCTCGCAAATACTTAGCCTTTTGCCTTTCTGGCTAGTGTGCGAGAACCACTGCGCAGGCACCGTTCCTTTTCTTTGATTTTTGCGATCCAGGAATGGGATCCCTGACGTGCCTGGGTGGTACCACCTCCCTGCCATCTGGCACGGAGCAGCTCCTTGGTTTCGAGTAAGACAAACATGGGCTCTGCTCTGAGTGTGGTACCAACAAGAATGACATTCCCATAGCTCGATAATGTAGGAGAGCAGGCTGATTTTGAGATCCTCCTCTGTTTTGCCATGGCCGAACAGAATGCCAAGCCACCTGACTTTTGCTTTCTTGGGCTTGTCAGCCGGGCAGTCCTGCAGTGGGCTTCCTAAGGGTGGAGCGAAGTGACTGCTTGGGCTCATGTTGTACTAGTCTTGTCCAGGTTCTTATTTATCAGGACTCGGCTGCTTCCACTTGATCATTACGTCCAAGTCTCGAGGAGGCCTTTAGCTCGTATCGGCTTGGACAACACAGCTGTTTTCATCCACACTTGAGTCACTTGAGGACGTATACAGCATTTACTCGACGAGCCGCGGAGATGCCACCCCTCAGCAACCTTAAACGATTGAAAAGCAAGAAACTCAGCGCAGTATCCCCAAACTATGTAAGGTGTTTTGTCCTGGCCAGCTGCACAGTAACCTTCTTCGCCAGTGGCCAGCGGAACGGCAAAGGCCGCAAGCAGCTCCAGCACTAGCAAAGCCATGGCGGGGAACAGGGTCATTCTGAAGGGTTGGCTTCAGGGTTTAAGGGTAAGACGGCAGACCTCGCAGACCTCTGAATTATCCTTGTAGCTTTGTGGAGATGCAAATGTTACGCCTTTGGGTCGGACCGTATTCATGTTCCTAGCTAGAATACAGCTTGGGGTAACGGAGACTTTCGATATACGTACTAGCGTCCACTCACTTTGGTGCAAATTATATCTCGAGATGAGGCGAGGCGGGACATGAGCATGGCCTTCATATCCAAGACTACGAAATTGCCGCCACGGATTCTGCGCTGCGGGCTCTTGTCAGAATGCTAGGCGATGTGACATGGCTCTGCTGGCAAGGCCATGCCTCAAACAGACTGGCACTTGCAAAAGGTATTTGTTTGCGTGCATATGACCATGTGTGTATTGTATGTGGAGAGCTAGATAGATAGATGGATAGATGGATAGATGGATACTAGTAGATAAACAGATAGATAGATAGATAGATAGATTGATAGATAGATAGATAGATAGATAGATGGACAGACGGACCTTTACATGTTGACACATACTTGTATGTTCAGGCGTTTGTATGTCTGCGCATATTATGTGTGTGTGTATATATATATATATATATATTCATTGATATGTATGTATGTATTTCTGTATGTATCGTACAGAGGTGTGCGTGTGTATGTGTGCGGTTTCTACAAGAATATCCTGCCAGTCCTCTTAAGGAGTGATGTCTTAAACAACCTCCATCTTCATTGGCCACGAGACCTGCTCAAACAGAACTGTATCTTCCACATTGGCCACGGGAGTCAAGGATGCTCGCACTTTTGAGGCACATTGCCTGTTCCTGCTGTATGGGTCGGCCTGATCCTTTCATCAGACTGAGCACCGAGAACTGGAGGTTGTTCAACGTCACTCTGGTTACACGGGTTCTATCAAAGTAAGTGCGCTCTCGTTTAGAACAACCCCCGACTGTCTTCAGGCTTGTGTGAAGCGAATGGTTTGCTGAGGCAAGATTATCATGCAAAACGTCGCCGTTCGCGTCTCTTAGCAAGGTCAGAGCTCAACGCTCCCCAACCGGCCAGTCAGCCCGCCCCTGCTTCAAGGTTTCCGCTTGAGGGCTTCCTTTCGACCCCGAGGGGGTTGCTCACGGACTTGCTGGCCGACAAATCAATCAGAAAGATCTGCGAAGCGGGGGTCGTGCATTCCAGGAAAGATGACCTCGTATTTTTGCTGCTTCCTTCGGCTTTACGCAAGCATCCGCGGTATTCGAGTAGGACTTGCTGCACTTCGTGAGCCTGATATCAGGTCCTAGGCTTCTTCGAGGTTTTCCATGCTCACGCAGATCTGCGATGTGCTGCTATCTTTGCCGACAGGGCAGGAACTAGATGCCCTGCCAAAACAATCCAGGCACATAAGTAGCACGGCTGAAGATCTGATTGACGTGCAATGTCCTGCATGACCTTCTCGTGTCCAACACCGGAAATACCAGACGTGCAGCAGAGCATTTTGCAAATTACGGCAGCATGTAGAATGTAGACGAAGGTTGCTGCATGTTGCAGGCCAGAGGCCAGACCTGTTAAGCAGCCACAACCGACAATCCAGACCGGTTAAAACCACTCCTTCGTACGGAAGTCTTCACGAACATTCACATGCCGCCATTCCGCAAGCACGAGCAGCACTGAATGAAAGTGGTGGTGGAACGAAGGCGCGGAGCAGGAGGTCGGCGTCCAAGCCTCTACAAGCGCGGCTCCACAAGAAAGTGAAGGGGAAATTTGAGCCCTTCGGCTGGACTGCAAACTGTAACCACAACGGAGGCTGTGGCCATGTGGGACCTCGCTACTCGGCGATTCGATATGATGCACTTGAAACATGGCAACTCTTCAAACTGGAGGCTCCTGTGACAAAGAGAAAACATGCACATAATAAGGAGAATGAGGTACTAGTCAATAGCCTCTTGGAGAGTTGCCCTGGCTTTGCAGCCGGCTCGACTCCGGCGGTCGAAGTCAAGCGGAGGGACGCGAAAATGGGGGTTGTGTTAATGGGGCCCTTGATGGGCTTTTTGCAGTACACTCTCACTTGCAATCACCTTGAATGGAAACGTCCTTTGGAACAACACCCAGGTCAGGTTACGGCGAGAAGCGCGCGAACTTCACCTGCCACGCGGACGTGTACATCTTGCCCTTCTCAACGGAAAGTGGGTTCCATCTTAAGTGCCACATCCGAAGCCCGAACGCCCCTCCCTTCTCAAATTCTTGCTTTCTACAGTCCCCCTGCCTTCATGCACACGGCAAGCACATGAAGCCAGGTTAAGCCAGATTCGGATATACTGAGCCAGAGAAGGAACTGCAACGCCCGAAGCCCTACGAGGACCCCGCCGACTGGTCGTGGCCAGACAGGGTTTGCAGGCAGTCCCCTGTGCAAGGATCCCAGAGCTGGGCTGTTCCTGAGCTGGGCACTAGAAAGAGCTCTCTGTGACTCTCTGTAATCACAACCAAAAACATGTCACCACACTCTCCCACCCCTCCAAACAGTTTCCTGGATTGCAGGAGGTTGAAGTGAAACAGTGTGATGGAGCTCCTGTCAACAATCCCTCGAACAGCCCAGGTATTTTTGCAGCATGGCTGCCATCCTCGAAGGACGTGAGGACCAAGGTTGCGTCAGGGCCTGGCTGCGCAGTACCGCTGCAAATGCCGGATGTAAATGCTCACACCCGAAAGAGTGATCATCGCTAGCTGGACACCGACATATAGACGTTTTGAACATCAGAAAATTGTGATCTGGTCGACATCCTGGTAACTGTGGCAGACTGTGGCTATGGTTGCGGCCAGGGTGCTAAAAAGCGCCACGCGAACGAAGTGCCCCGGCCTTGGCTACATTCTCCCTTGCTAGAGTTCCAGGCTTTTCGAGGCGGGGTTGTCTTGCTTTGTACAAGCTTGTGGCAAAAGCCGCCCGCAGGCGTTCTCATATGCACGGCCCTCTGTCATCACATGCAACTCTGAAACAAACGCTCCGCTGGACTAGGCCTCTCAGAGAAGCCCGAACTCTAGACTCTAGCTGGTGTGGGTGGGGGAGTTGTCGCAGAGCCCGCAGCACACACGAATCAGCCAAGATGCCTGACCAAAGTTCGCAGGCACGTCCCGGTCTTCACACTCCAAATTTTCGCACTACCTCTTGCAAGCTGTGTTGCTACATATCCACATCCTCGCGAATTTTCATTAACTTCAGGCTCCTTCCCTCTGGCCCTATTACTTCCATAAATGCTGCTTCATGCAAAAACTCATGTCATGCCAAGTGCCAGGAACGGTGGGATGTGCCGAAGCTTTCCTCCCGAGCCCTCCCGCCCGCCGTCGTCCGAGGCAGTGAGTACGGCAGCATCATCCGCAGAGAACACAGCGGAACGCACCGGGAGTCCATGGCCTTTCAGCGTCCTCCCAACAAAGCTCTTTTGGGGATCCCGCGTGGCATGGCCCTCGAAATCCCTAGAACGGCACGTCCACCGGTCTCACTCCACAAGCTAACAGAACAGAGAGGCACGTCACCTCCGTGGGACACCCTCCCCTCTCAAAGGACGTTGGATCAGGACATGCGCAGTCCGCATGGAAAGCACAACAGAGGGAGACAAAGCTTTCAGGGTGCGGGGAGTTCCAGGTTGAGGAGGTTTGAGGGCGACTCGGCTGACTGACCAGGCCTAGACCAGTAGAGGCACCCGATCCCGGAACCTGAAGCTCCCATCCCCTATACTGCCTATACTGTACCACTCACCTACTGGTCATTTTGGTCATTCCTGTGTTTTACAGATCGCCGGTGTCATTCTTTCACCCATCAATGCCCGAAGACACTTCCCCGTCCTGAGACACACGCCAGAGGCGACCTCCCAGATCTTTGCTGTGCGGTCCCAAGAGGCGGTCAGAATCAGCCGGCTATCCACCTTAGCAAACAGAGAAGGGACGAGAGGGGGGTTTTCGGGTGTGGGAATCATAGGGCTTATGGCCCCAGCAGTGGGCCGGCTTTAGCACGAGTGACTGCACAGTCAATTTCACCTTTTCGAGGGTTTGCAGGTTCCATGGCTGGCGGATCCTGTCTTCTAAAACTCCTCCACGCCCAGCAATCCACGCCAGGCTGCTGAGAAGACGGCCGAGAAAACTCCCAGGCCATGTCCCTCTAGGATTTGTATGGTCTCACCTGTCACGGGTGTGCTGTCGGGCCGTCGGGAGTTCGGGTGGAGCCTTCTGCGTAGTTACGTGCAGCTAACTCTCACAATCTTTCACAGCTCCTTCAGCAGCTTGGCACAAGCATTGATATTTGATGCGCTGAATCGATCCATGGCCTTGCTGCCCAAATTTGAGCATACGTCTACCTGAAACGTTCACCTAACATCATGCCGACACCAGAAGAGCTTGATCCTTGACGTGGCCGTGCAGCCTCCGCGCCATATCCTCGCGGTGCCATCCACAGAGGCGGTTAGCACCTGTGCGCAATGCTTGCAAGAGCTACTGCACCCAAGGCCTGCCCCCCACTCCGAGCACCGCAAACTCCGTCTGGTCACGGCCCATCCCCACAAGGATGGGCTCCACATCTCAGGGCGAAGAGCCAGACAAACAAGACTGTTCCTCGAATATGCACTCACATACTCAATTACTACCTGTCCTGTCCAGATGTGTACACCCACTTTTGCAAAGGGCTCGATTCACGCTTCACTCGAATCCAGCTCTGCATTCGAGAAATTGAAGGAAGGCACGGCATCACCGTCAGGAGCATAGGCAGCCGAGAGCACTGCATGACCTCAGGCTGTTGTGTGCTGTTGACTCTTGTCATTCCACCCCCGCGGTGGAACATCCACCCACTCACCTACTCATACATACATACATACATACCTACCTACCTACCTACCTACCTACCTACCTACCTACCTACCTACCTATCACACCACGCCATGCGCCACACGCCGCACGCTGCACACAGCAGGCACTGGACGCAGCACGCCACACCGCACCACGTCGCACATCAGAGTACCCTTAGGTGTAGTTTACATTTAGATCTGTCACACCCATCCCAGGAGACTTGCTATCGTGCAGGCACTTAATTTTGGCACAGAGCTCGCAACCGCGCACAGTCAGTTGACAATGCCCTCATCTTAAGGCATTTATCGTACCGATCGAGGCAGGCACTATGCCCGCGGAGTGTGCGAAGGCAGAGGCGATCGTTGCCTCAGCTGAGCATCTGGTGCGACAGATTTGGCCCATAAATGAATGCTCAAAATAGTGGCAGTCAGAGTTTTGACTATGCTGGCGGCTGGCATAAGGGTATTGCACAAAGCCGGCATCTCCAAACATGGAGGAGCAACAGCACCCTACAAGTGCTTTTGCAAGCCGCGCTGCCCGTCTGACACCAGGACTTGAGGAAAAAGCCAATGCAGCCCAGGCAGGAACCGAGGTCTGCTCTGCAGTCCTGGAGGGGCTGGTAGCACCGTACAACTCGCCAACAAAGTTCAACCTTTATGGGAGGCAGCAGCCGTCACAAGTAACCAGCCCCAGAAAGCATCCAGGGTCTCGCGCCCGAACGTTGAGACCTCTGTCACCCGAAATCCTCCACTTCAGGTCATCCTGCGCACTTCAGCCCCAATCCACCACGCTGAAGCCTCAACCCTTACGCATGTTGACTCAAGCCCAGGATGCAAAGCAGCTAAAGCACCAGCCTCCGCATGATTCTGCTCACGGCCGGTCGGTGCTACAAGCCTAGGGAGATGATGCGTTGGGGACCCACAGGGCGCCGGTGAAGTTACATGGCCATGGCCTTACTACTGCACATGAAGGGGATCTTCAACATGCTCGAGGAGGACCGCCGATGATACTTGATAGTAGGATGCTGCACTGTCCCATGTGAGTTTCCAGCATATCTTCTCTCGGTGAACCTGAGCGTTAACAATGGAGTCCACGCGCTCAACCGCAAGGCTCGGAAACCTGAGCTAAACAACCTATGTGCGACATCCATTCCGACTGCAGTGCTTCGTCTTGTCAATGCATCCAAAAGCTTGCAGGGGTGAAAGACTACGCATGCCCGGTGGCCAGATCTTCGCGGTCTTGTCCCAGGACCCAGTGAGCACCTGCAGAAGTCTTATTATTGCGATTTGAAGGGCGGACGAGTAAACATGGGTGCATGTGATAAGGTCTTCCGACGGCACTCTCCGTCAGCTGCCATGTGTACGCAGGCAAGCCAAAGCTCCAGCCTGAGTGCCGTCTTTGGAGAACTCCGCAGAGGTTACAGTGCCTGCCGCAAGTCTTTGGGCTAAGAACACCTTTTGGAGGAGAGCTGCGCAAATAGCTCAGACAACATGGTGTTCGAGGAGTTGGATGCCTGCCTTCGATGGCCGGATCCCTCCATAGATCTCTCTCTCTCTCTCTTTATGATTGCATAGATGATGATATTATCCTTATCCCTGGAACCCTATTGGACCTCTAGACCGATGCCGTATAGGCTCAGCCATGGGAATTCTTCAATAGATCAAAGAATCCTGACAAATGTCAGGCCTTGGTGGCCCCGCAATGTCTGAAAGCAGCCGCCGCATGGCACGCGCCAGATCTTCGCCTCGTACAACAGAGGGTTGTCTGTGACGGATGTCGGTATCCAGGTTGGCCAAAGGATTTAGCAGCTCGAGGTGGAGGTTTGACCGCCATCTCATCACCTAGCAATCTAGTATTCTCACTATTCTCGAACCTGCTGCAGAGCTTGCACTGGGGCTCCCATTTTCTGTCCAAGCAACACATCTAATCTAAACCTGGACTCAGGCCGCCACTTGACATGTTTCCACGGCCCGCAGATGCTTAAAGGAGCTAGACATTGATCGCTTGTAGCTACGATCAAGCCCAGGCGCCGTCCCGTCGATGGCTGCAGTAAGCACCTGAGCCGGAAGCTTCCACGGTTGCAAGACAATGAAAAAAGCGACCAGCAGCAAACAACAACAACAACAAGAACACAAGCATTCACAACTGAGCAAAACATCCCGCGACGACACTAGTTTGCACTGTCTATTTGCTGCATCATATGCATGTAGTTGTATATGCATATTTGGCACACTTAAAGTACACGAGCACATGCACGTACAATCACACAGGCACACGAGCGTGACCGCACAGGCACGGCATGCACACGGACGCCTCGTGCAGTAATTTTCCGGCTGTTAACTTCGAGGGCCCTTTCTGTGGCATTCCATTACCCTTCCAAGCTGCCAGAGAAGAGTCAGCATTGAAGACCGCCAGAGACAAGGCGTAGGTTTGCACGGGCCTGGATAGCTTTCCAATCTTCTGCTTTAATGCTTCGCCCGCATCCAAGCTTTGGGCAACCACAGAGGTTGTAACCGCTCTGTAACTGCAAAACTTTCCAAAGTTCACGAAGTGCAGAATCGGGCTGAATTTCTAGGCTGCGCCGACAAAAGCTGTTTAAAACCGTGCACCAGCACGAACGATGCCTAAGCAACTAACCTCCAAGGGGGAAGCGATAAGAAAGGCCTTCATCATGCCACTCGCAAGACAAGACACGCTGAACCGAATCGGCAAGCACAGCAGGGGGCTAAGGTACAGGCGCGACTGAGAAAGGCTAGTGCGCAGGCTGGCCGTCGGGCACGATTCTCAAAACCCTTCCAAGCTTGGAAAAACTCAATTGGAGCTTTGGCGCAGTGCCCGCACACACTGTCCTGTCAGCACCTGGGACAACTTCAAGGCTGAGATTGTGTTGGCATCGTGCAATGCAGCGTCAAGAGGCATGTTGAAATCTAGCAATAACAAAATCGGACAACTCAACTACTTGCGGCCTTGTGGCATTCCAGATCTTGGCATTGCCGGCAGATGTTGCTGTTAGCACGAAGTAGCCATCAGGAGAAAAAACGGCCGAGCGCACGACGTCCTTGAGTTCTGGTTTCGACTAAAAATCAATGAATGCCATCCACATCCTATCTGGCGGCTATTGTTTGCAGCCACTCCAAAACTCCACGCAGCAGAAACGGATGCACACTTGTCAGTTCGTCAGCCGAGGCTCTCCGTGACCTTCGAGTGTGTGAACCTCATCGAGCGGAGGCTTGTGCTGACTGCTACTGCAATGGCTTAAATCAAATTAGTTTACCGTTCACCACATACCCATGCCGGGTCACATGTCTGGAACACATGACGAAAAGCCATGTTGCGCATGCTGAAGCATCTGACAGCCACGTTTCTGTTGCACTGATTGCACTGATGTCATCTCTAGCCTCCTGATGCAATGAATTGTGTCATGCGCATACGACCCAGCATATCTGATGCTGCATCCTTGTTGCACAATTGCCTCGGTGAGTGTGCCTGACATGCAGCGAATCTAGAGCCAACCAAACACAAAGCTCGAAAAGCACCAGCGACACGTCCTCAAGCAGCACTCCGTTGCATGGCGAGATTACTAGCGAAAAGCCTGCACAGATCCGTGCTGCAAAGCTTCCAGATGCGAGCTGTGCCATCATCCGATGCGGTAGCAACAAATGAAGCGCGGTGCACCACCAGGCTGAGGAACAGCTCGTCCTGCTGCGGCCGACAATTCAGACAGCATTGACGCTGCAGCTCGCCTTTCTCCACACTCAGTCTGCAACCACCTTTGCTCTGCTGATACGGGTTGCAAATCCTGGCAGCACAAAACAAGACCTTCCTTCCTCACCCTGACAAGAAGCCTCGTCCCCGAGCTGGGACAGTCTCATGGTTGGCCAAAGCAGGTCATGACCTCCACAATGCAAGCTAGTGCACATGATTTTGCACCCAACATGCTTGTGGCGATGCAAAGCACGTGTTTCCAAGGGGCAGTGGTGAGGAGACATCGATCGGCTGACATTTTAATGGTTTAGGATGCCCGTTTTGCAAGACAGCGCGGTCTCGTTAGCAGCGAAAACTCAAACGGGGTCTTCAGCAAAACATGGGGCCAACAGGGGTCCTGCAAGCGTGTTGTCAGTGCCTGAAGAGCCTAGTTTAAGCACTTCTGTTGACTTCCCCCCGCCCACTTCCAACCCACCCGATGTCTGAAACATTCTTTCCACGGGCTGTCTGAAATATGCATCTGCTGGTTTGAGCACTTTGACAGTGTGCGACCGAGACAGAATGTGAATTTACCCATGGTGGAAAACATGTTTGGGCGACCTTCTGGCAACTCCTATCAAGCCTGCATAAATCCATTTTCTTCCCAGGGCATTTAGCAATCTCGGGTCAACTAACTAGCCATTGCTTGAATGTGGACTTCACGGGCGTTCATGGAACCGGTCCGTTGTTGCAGATCTTACATCCCTGTCTTCTTCTTCGGAGCAGCTGGAGCGACAGGTAGTCCTGTTGTAGTCCGCTCAAAGAGCTTTTCGGAGGACGAGAAACGGGTCCCCAGAGCGAGGCCAGTTCCTATACATGGGCCCTGATCCCAGATTTGCGCAAGAAAAATCAGAAGTTCTGTGCCACCGCGTGCTACTGTTCCGTTCCGTTCCGTTCCGTTCCGTTCCGTTCCGTTCCGTTCCGTTCCGTTCCGTTCCGTTCTGTTCTGTTCTGTTCTGTTCTGTTCTCCGAGGTTAAGGGAGCTGTCGAGGCTCCCCCGCACCGAACGGTGTGCCCCTGTTGTTGTGCTTTGCTTTGCTAGGGGTCAGAGCCAAGGGGAGCTACCCCCCGGCCCGCGCCTAGGCGCATCCCCGTCCATCATTTTGACAGGCTGTACTGTTGTTTGCAGGGTCGTGTGCCCCGTTTTGTTTGTGGGCCTCCGTGGGGGCAGTGTTCAGGTAACAACAAGTAGACTTACAAACGGCGAGTGCCTCCCAGGAGTCAACAGTTTGTACGCCCTACTTTGTACCCCACCTGACCTGCCTTAGCCCTGCCTTCAACCCGAACTGAAGCCTGACTCCCAGCACTGCCTGCGACCTTCCACTCAACCCTTAAGCCTGGTCTGCTCAGAAGGGGGAGGTGCCCCGAGACGAACACAGCAGGCACTTAACAAACGCTCAGAGAGTACCCCAACAGCACAGCAGCTTCTTGTGCCCCCCTTCGAGCTTTGTCTAGGCCACGTTGGCGTGTGCACGTCGCCTTCTGTGGCTTTGTTCACTGCCGTCGCTGCTCTCGCTCAGTTCTTCTTCGGCTCGTTGTAGTGCTTCCCTTCTTGTCGTCGTCGGGTGCCACGGACTTCCACGCTGTCCACTTCTGGCGCCGTGGCTTCACACTGGTCGTCGTTCTCCTCGACGTGGTGTCCCGGCTCCGTTGGTGCAGCCGGCGGCGGTGGCTCGCCAGTCCCCGTCAGTTCAGCGGGTCCCTCGTGTGCCTCCAGCTCCGTCGTCGTCTGTGGTGTCGTCTCCACGTCTGCGTGCCCTCGCAGTCGTACAGGTGCTGGTTCTCGTTGAGGTAGTTCACGGCGTCGTTCACCTGGTCGTGGTAGTTCGGGTGGTACCGGTAGTTCAGCGCGTAGTGTGCCTGTTCCTGGATGGTTCTCCGGTGTTTCGTCGTCCACCAGCTCCACCACGTCTCCCCAGAACTGGGTGCTCCACTCCAGTAAGTCTGCCACTGCTTCCGACGCCAGGTTGTGTGCCTCCCCACAGAGGAACGGTACCAGCGTGCGCAGTTTTTTGAGTGCTCGCAGTGGTAGTTCAGGTCGTGGTTCTGGCAGCTCTGGCTGGGAGTCTGGTTCCCCGTTGTAGGCCAGTACGTCCGCAGGGTGCCGCGGTCTTTTCC